ATGAAGCGGGTACACCATCCTGCTGATGCAACAAATTTTTCAATGCCTGGTGCTTTAAATTTGTCATCTTTAGCCATTTGAAGGGCACGTAAGCGAATTCCCATGCGTGTTACACAGTAACCATTTTGACGACACTCCATAACCCATGTATGCAATTCAGTCTCTAGAGCCCCATATGAAGTCGGTAAACCACGTCGAGGTTTTTTTGCCTTTGGAATCTTTTCCAAGTCAGCTTTCATTTTCCGCCACTCCCTTACTTGTTTTTCGTCAACACAAAATTCCCTACTTGCAATACTGTTATTGCTTTCTTCTGCTCTTGACACAACCTTAAGTTTAAAACCAGCTTCGTATGACCTGCGTTTTTGTTTTGGTCCAGGATTAGAAGTGCCGATATTGGGATCCATGTCTAACAGGATAAAAAAAAAGAATTTTTAGGATGGGGAGGCGCCAGGCCCCGTCCCTCCTTTTTGACCCCTCTTACTTCTCATAAGCCCCACTCCTTATAGAATCCACCCACTCCATCCCCTGTATTCCGCATATTGTGTAAGGAGTATACAGCTCAGCGTCATAAGTGGGGTATATTGCAGCCAGTAACATAGTATGCAGCCAGTACACAGGTATTGTGGCCATTACACAGATATTGTAGCTAGAACACAGGCATTGTAGCCAGAACACAGGCATTGCGGCCAGAACACAGGCATAGATGTACTGTATGATTAATATTTTAGCTTTTTTTTTTTAAATGTTGCCTTGACATACGTACATTTTAAGCAGCCACAACCCATAGCTCTTTTCCTCAGGTGTCCCGGCTTCCTAGCTGTTTTTGTGTTTTTAGCTGAGGGAAACTTGCAGATGGCAACTCCCCCCCCCCCCACATATACCATTCCCCCGACACAGAGGATAAAATATTTCCACAATCCCTGGGCAGATCCTGCTTTCCATAAGGATTTTATTTCAAAGGGAAATGCTGCATGTGCAATTCTGGTACGGTATATCCACTAAGAACTGAGGTTTGTATGCAAAGACAGGAAGACTCTCACTATCAGGCAATAAAGTTTCAAGCTAAAAAAAATACAGTTCATTTAATGACTGTTCGAAATTACAACGCCATTGAAAAAAGGGACTTAAGACCATTTTCCACACAACTGTTGCAACATGCTCGTGGTCACATGATCAAAATTGAAACACTGGGCCACTGACTCATATTTATGACAATTGCAGTGTCTTGGGGTCATGTGATCCCCTTGATTCTGAATTGAGTGCACTGACTAAAAAGCGAGGTAAAAATATGGTAAATGAATGACACTTCCCTCCCCAACAATCACAGAGTGGTACTTCATCCCCTCTTGACAATCTTGACTAAGACGAGTTCGATGAAATCATTTTCACNGACTCTCACTATCAGGCAATAAAGTTTCAAGCTAAAAAAAATACAGTTCATTTAATGACTGTTCGAAATTACAACGCCATTGAAAAAAGGGACTTAAGACCATTTTCCACACAACTGTTGCAGCATGCCCGTGGTCACATGATCAAAATTGAAACACTTGGCCACTGACTCATATTTATGACAATTGCAGTGTCTTGGGATCATGTGATCCCCTTGATTCTGAATTGAGTGTACTGACTAAAAAGCGAGGTAAAAATATGGTAAATGAATGACACTTCCCTCCCCAACAATCACAGAGTGGTACTTCATCCCCTCTTGACAATCTTGACTAAGACGAGTTCGATGAAATCATTTTCACGGGTATTGCCAGTGCAGAACACAGATAAAGGGCCGCCCAGGGAAGACTTACTGCAGGATGAGGCCAAGCGGGGTTTGGCCGCTTCACTTTGGCAACAGCACGAGATGACAGCTCTGCTGTGATTTGTGTTCCCCCGTAACCGTGGAGATAATGCCCCGCCTCTTATCTCCCATGGAATCACCCCCCCCTCGCTTCACCTAATCAACGGTCCCTGCGCGACCCCTCCCACAAAAGAGCCTGTTAACAGCTGAGCAGGAGGGATCCTCCCACCCGTAGAATGCCTAGGGGCCTTCGTTAACGGTTTTAAATGTTTTAAATTTAACCGACTTTTAGGACAATTCTCAGCTTCTTAAGGAGCTGATCCTGGGCGGCAGTTATGTGTGGGTTAAATGGGTGCAACTGACTTGAAGCCTCAGCATCGGCTTGTAATCTTGCCAATGACGGACTCCCTCATTTGCTCAGTGGCTTCAGTGAGGGCTGAGGGGCAACGTTATGCATACCACGCGGGGAAGTCTCGCTGA